AACAGCGGTTTGCCTTTGTATACAATTTACAGTATTTTCAGAAATCGGTGGCGAGTTCAATTTTTTTTTAGTGGGATACGAGTCAGAAGCAATCAGCTCAAACTTGAAAAATATATTTTGTGTATCGGGTATAAACATGTATATGAATGAAGGGGAAAGGGGGAGGGGGCTTGGTTAAGTTTTTTTTTCAAATACACGACTCTCTCCTCATACTTTTTAAGTGGGCTTTGTATTTCCTAAGGTTGGTTTTTCGTTACTTTTACATATAGATATTTAATAACTCAAATGGAACATTTCAAATTGAAGGAACCCCCCCCCCCCCCAACTCGCCTCATGAATCGTACATAGTTTTTAAAACTTAACATCCCATGTTACCTGCAGTCCGTAAGCTTTGTATCCGATTCCATGCTTCTTTTGATACAAGATTAAACAAAAACTGCATTTTTTGATGGATGGTCTACTCAAGCATAGATCAACCACAAATTATGAAAATCGCCCTCCATTAGATCACTAAAGTTAAAGATTCATATACTAGTATATATCGCCTTCATTTTTGGCAATTAATCCTTCCTGTTTATTTATTATCAACTTGCAATACTTGAACGAAGCCCATTTATCTTTTAATATATTTTTCAGTTACACCAGTCCACTTGCGATCTTTTAATAGGAAACAAAAAATATACAGTGTATTAATTTTTTAGACCCGGTTCTTCACGGCTCAATCCCATTCCGAGTGTCCGAATATCGGGCGTTATCAAAATTTTAAATAAATATACCGATCGTATTATGATTTAAAATAAATATTTTAAGCATACATGTACGTAAACTCACCCAAGTAAAATTTGAAAGAGACTTCACAAAATTCCACCTTTTTTCGTATTTTGTATCTTAAAAAATATTCATGGTAACATAATTAAAAAGGATTGGTGGTTTAATAAAACTAGCTGCAAAAATGTAGCCCCCTCCCTTTTTTTTGGGGGGGGGGGGATCCTCTCCAAAAAATATCAGATAAAAAATATCGGAGAGGGCTACATTATTGCAGCTAAAATAAAAACATGAACAGTTAATTATTTAATAAATTCAGATTTAACATCCCCCCTGAATTAAAGAAAAATACACACTCACACACCAAAAAAATGCTCGGTCACTTTATGCTATACTAATTTAACTGAGAAAATCAACACTTGAGAATTACTGAAAAAGTCAATAAGTTTAATGCATTATAATAATGTATTCAAAACGATTCAAACTAAATCGCTATTTTAGTAACTGTGTTTTTATTCTCTCTCTCTCTCTCTGAAATTGTATTTGTCTATATATATATAATGTCTTCAAAGGAACAACTACACACATGTACATGTAATGTAAATGGAACTCACACGAGTTAGTAAGGAAAAGGTCGATATTTAGAAAAATCGCATATTTTGTAGCACGTACGTACTCTAACGGATGGGGGTTGGGGTGGGGATGGATCGAGTTTCACCCATTTTTTTTTAAGAAATAGTCATTTGCTATAACATAATACATGTAGTTAGTTTATATTTTTTTAATCTCAAAGACGGCTGTCCCCTTGCCGTTTTTTCTTTCTTCTTGAAGCCGTAAACAATAAGAGAATTATCAAAATAATCACCTTTAATATATTGTTTTTTTTTGTTTTTTTTTTGCTTCTTGTTTTTCATTTTTCTCTCCCCCCCTCCCTTTCCCCATTCTGCGCTTTAGGCAAGTTTAAATTTCTACTGCAGTTTTAAAGAGATTTTAAATAATTGTTTTATATTTACCTAGTCCCCAATATATCATTTACCTGATGCATGATTAGCATTAATTCAAAGGGAAAAATCAGAAAAATATATAGCAACACTTTGTAATTTGTACACGCCTTGATTTTGTATAGTCATCATGAGAGAGAGGTGCAATTTTTACTTCCTTTGCAAAAATCTAAATAATCTGTACTTCCGGTCAAATTGACACACCAGTGTAAGGAATATATTTAGGATATATCCTACACGATGAAAATAGAAAGATCAATAGCCTTATAACAAAATAAAATAAAATAAAAAACAACAAATTAACAACCTTTTTTGAAAATAGATTGTCATACAAAGAATTGCATCCATTCGCGTACATGTATATTTACTCATTAGAGATTTCAATAAAATTGCGTCATTATTTTCCATTAAAATTCTGGAAGAAAAATGATCATATCAAACACATCAAAATGATCATGATTACCCCCTTTCACTGTAATACATTGAATTCATGCGTCTTGTTAATAAAATCTATGAAATATTAAAAGTTATACCGATATGTAATAAATAAAGTCAATACGGAACAAATAAAAAATAAATATTGATAAATAAATATTGATTAAAATTAAAATTTCGGAATACAATTAAAGCAAAATCAAACATTTGAACTTATTAGCTTTCGTTATCTTTTCAATATGTTTAATTATTAGGTGCTTTTAGTTGAGTAGCAGCATGTAATATCTGCATTTAGGAAACTTACGAAAAATTAGGGATGTCAACGAATAGTCGACTATTCGACCATCAGTCGAATGGACCGACGATCGAATAATGAAACGACATTCGAATATTATTATAATTAAACAAGCTTATCTTTTAAAAAGATTGGTGAGCTAGCGCTGTAGCATAATAAAATACAGAAGAAGATATCCCAACCATTTGTTAAATTTGCTGAATCGATTAATTATTAATAGGAAGGCAGATTGGTGCACTGGGGGTTGAGTTTGGGGGGGGGGGTGTCACAATTCAGAATGGTGGATCTAAGAGTGTGCTTCACGTCGGCAATGGCATAACTCCTAACTGTGCTTTAAGTATTCTGTATTTTACTGTAATTTCAATTTCGAGGTGAAAAATAAAAGGTCAGTAGACCAATGAGCACCTTCTGGCCTTTCCGGCAAGCTCGGAAAACATATCCGAGGTTGCCGCGGTTTTTCGAGCTTGCCGGAAAGATCTATGAAGGTAGATTAGGAAAGCTATGTATTCATTACAACTTTAGAAATAACAGTCTTGGTTTTATAAGACCCGAGTTACTGTTACTTTTTGTTCATTTACGTGCAGGTTAGACAACAGAACACGAAACTTCAGATCATATGTATTTTTAGATGATAAACACTAAATTGCCATGTCTTTCCGACATACTCTGAAAAAGATTTTTGTTTTTGTTGTTGTTTTTTCTGAGCTTGCCGGAATTATCCACTAAGATGGTAAAACTGTAAGGAAAGCTAGATGTCTAGAATCTTGGCATTATATAGCCAAATTTTTTCTTGTACTTTAATTTATGTGTAAGTTAGACAATAAATTTAAAAAAAAATTGAGAATCTGGATCTAGACTGGTATTGACTGTCTCTAACCTACGAAATGTATATCGCGCATATCAGACAGGAAAGGCCAGTGTAAATTCGGATCATTTCTATTTTTGTATGACAAAACGAAATTGTTATCGTACAGTCTATCTATCTTGTTAATAAAATCTATAAAATATTAAAAGTTATACCGATATGTAATAAATAAAGTCAATACGGAACAAATAAAAAATAAATATTGATAAATAAATATTGATTAAAATTAAAATTTCGGAATACAATTAAAGCAAAATCAAACATTTGAACTTATTAGCTTTCGTTATCTTTTCAATATGTTTAATTATTAGGTGCTTTTAGTTGAGTAGCAGCATGTAATATCTGCATTTAGGAAACTTACGAAAAAATTTTTCGGAAAAATACATCAAACACAGGAAACAAAACGAAACAGGAAATAAATTTTAATTTGTTCTTTAGAAAATATGACATGTGCAATGTCTTCATACGCAACAAAATAAAATAAATAAACTTGACAATATTAAATCATGGAATTAAACAATCAGTCATTCAATCTAAATGCCTGGAATTACTGGTAATCTATAAACTCGGAACGTTTTCTCAAGGTTTGGCTTACACGTACTTGTTATTATGACGTCATTTACGTAAAATGACGTTGATTCTAACCGTTGCTGCTAAATGGACGAGTAGTTCCTCAATATACTGAATTTATAATAGTATGAAAATATACTTTTGAAATGCAATCGTGTTCATTGAGCATATTCAATAGTAATAATACCGATACTATAAGTAACAACTCATTTATTTGAAAAATTCATGGCGTCAACGCTGGTATGAAATTCACTTTGTTTATCCATATATTTGCCTGAAATTTTCATGATATTCTACAAATAAGCCATAAAAACTTTAATGTTATGCAATGAAAAGATGCAAAAGTTCAATAATTATTTATGGTGAATAGAAGTAAAAGAAATACATAGTCACAATTCATTTCAATAAAATCGGCCCAAAATCGGCCCTGTGGCATTCTATGCAACTGTGTGATCGGCCCAAAATCGGCCCTGTGGCACAGAAGTGGTTAATGGTCACCTGAGTATCATGCTGCAACTTTTTTCTCAACAAATGCTATATTCACAAGAAATCTTTATGTCAAATGCAAGTTTCTAAGGCTACAGCAAAAGAAAAAGGCTCTTGGTCCAAACATTATTGCAAAGATGTCAAGGAGTAAAGCCAAGAAATTCTTAGATGGCCAATGCTTTTTCAAGCTTAGCAAACACCCTGGGGTATGAAACTTTTACCAAGGAAACATAAATTTGAAGAAAGTTTCATTGATCAATCTTATCCTGTAAACAGTTTGTAAGATGTCTTGGAGTAACACAAAGCATTTTTTAACCCTATTCCCATTCTGGGGGCATGAATCTAGGGGCTAGGGATCAAAGGAGGTTAAGACCTTGAAACTCATTTTATACATTTTTTGTCCCAAATAATGCTGTATATCAAAGATGGTTTCAATTAAAAAGTTTCAGAGAAGATCCTTGTTCAAAAAGTGAAAGCAATCACAACAGGCATCACATGATGATTGGAAGACTGAAGACAAGTGATTGAAGACTAAATCTCAAAGCTGTATGCAAAAATTAAAAAAAAAAGTCTTTTAGCTTACACAAACAGGGTCTCCCTTGTCCTCCATACTTGGTTCTGACTTATTGTTTTGGCTGCCATGACTACCAAACAATACACCACAAGAGCGAAAATGATCTTCTTCATGTGAGAAAACCTCTCAAATAGCAGGTGTGCACCATATCCAACCAAAATACAAAAGCCGACACTGAAAAGGTTTAAAAAAAAATAACAGTCAGAAATTGTACTTCTACTTATACTATGTTTATTATTATTATTATTATTATTGAAAAATCTATAAAAGTAATCTGTCAATAAATGATCATATGCCAAAATTTGCACTTGCAAAATTCAACAACTATTGGACAAAATTTGCTTCAAATTTTAAATCATACATAACTGTTACAAGTTCTTTTTTTTTCAATGATACAGCTAGATACACATGTATCATATGATAAAAGAATTTCACACTACTTATTATATTTACACAGAGATCTACTCAGATCAATAATGTAGTAGTTTTACCTTTTTTTTTTATTTTCAAAAAACAACCCATACATTTCAAAAACAATTTTCTAAGAACAATTATTTCAATATTAACCAGTCATATTTCATTATCCTGGTTTTCTGCTGCATGCATAACATGATCCTATACATGGTATCGACCAAACAGTAATTACCAGCAGACTGTGGTCTGATAGCATAAAGTCAGTTAAAATGGACAATTAATGTTTTTTTTTTCCAATTTCCCAAATAAAAGCCATTCCTATAATATTGACCAAGATAAAACTACACACTTTGTTTCTCTTTACTCATTATCTTGTCATAAAAACATACTGAATCTGCTATTGATTTGAATTGCCATGTAAGCATATCTTTTTTTAGCATCAAATTAATCCATGAAAAAAAAAGAAAAAAAAAACATTTGTGCAATTACCTCTTTGGCCATGAATCAGTCATCTGATATAAGGCAAAAGCTAGCCTTCACTAAGGCATGTGACATTGACCATTAACTCCTTTTTATCTTTGATTTTTGATACATTCTTCAGCTTTGTAATTGAATATATCTTATTTTCCAATGATTCAAATTTTCTTATCAACCAGCCCAGAAAATTTCATCCATGACTCACTAGTTTGTTGAAAACAAGAAATTTAAATGTCACTAAATGTTCTACCCTATAACTATAAAATTTAGGGTGGGTATAAGATTGATGTAAAACTTTAACAGGGTGATGTTAATTACATCACACCATACCTTGGAAGGTATAAAACTCTTTCTGCCACAACAAACCCCACAGGAAAGAGAAGATTTGAGGCTGGGATAATGGGAAGGGTGTAAAATAGGAGACCGGGGACCACAGCTACATCAGAATCTTCTGACTGGGAAAAAAATCTTAAGAATTAGTGAATAATTACAAAAGTTAATGAAAATTTAACAGGCATTTATTATAATTCTTTGTCACATTACTATCACCTCTATACACAACAAATATAGAATTTTTCAGCTTTGTTTCTTCTTATTTGAATATATACCTTTGCCTCTCTCCAGCTCTTCAGCAAAAGAAGGAAAAGAACAATAGCTAACAATACTGTTGCTAAGTTACGAGCATCCATCAGACTCTCCACCAATGGGATGCTTCCTATCTGCCAATCATAACACAGTTGTGATGGAAACAGCAGCAGCCATACATTAAAAAACCAAACAAATCCGTAAGTGAAGACCCTGTTGATTAAAATTTAAACATGATATACAAGCACATATTTTCTGAAATTTTCTGATAAATAAGTATATATGCTTTGAAATTTCACTTACTCCCTGTGGGTAAAAATGTTCTGATGAGCAAGTTAATTACATAACTTGAAATTTTTTTATTTACTCTCTACAAATAAATATGTTATCTGTTATGATGTAGAATATTATTTACCTTCATGTATATTTTTATGATTTGAACTATATGAACTAAAACAAAGGTGTGAATAAAATAGTAACAGTGCTCTCTCTGATAGTCTGAGGTACCTAAAATTCTGCAGCCCTACATGTAAGCATAATTTTTTATAAATGGGAAGTGCCTAGTCCATAAGAAGCCCATGCAGCTGAAATTTCATAAGAATCTGAGTGGGAAATCCTATTTCTATCTTTTGTTAAACCTGTATGTATTAATACCTGAATATTTTCATTACTTAATTTCCATTAAAATTTTGTCCCCATACTGTGTTGCTTACTGGAGCAAAAATAAGATTTGACAGATGGTATACAAAGACAGCATTAACCTCTCACTAGTCTGTCAAAAAAACTTAGCATAAGATTAGCATATTAAATCCAAATAAATCTTTTAGGGAACATTTCAATTTGCTGCTCTTTTGCTTTATGTATATGTAAATACAAAGCTCCAAATCACACTGCAAGAAAAAAATATCAAAGGCCCTGTGTCAAAGCTGTAAAACTTGAACATTAGGGAAATGTTTGTGACTTTTCATGTAGGTCTACCGAGTCAAGGATATCGTTTTATCTTCTAACAAGTTCAATGCATACATGAAATAATGATGCATAAAATTTACTCACACGTGAAAAGTTAATTACTGTATATTAATTTCACAAAAACATTGCCTATTTGCAAGTCAGATTTATTTTCCTGGGATGTCCTTAGGAAAAATAGAATTATGCAGAAGTATCACTGGCTGTGGCTATATACATATACCTCTAAGATTTGGGGATATTTACCTTATGAAGAATGAAGACGAAAAAGATGCTGGATTGTCCTGAGGAAGAAATTTTGGAAGTTGTCCTCTCATGATCCAAAAACGAAATGACAATAGTGTCAACCCCTACAACCATAATGATCACATTATTTATAGGTAGATGCAGTCCATTTATGAGCTTTGTTTTCTTAACAACTATCTTTGTCTAGAATTTAATACTTACCACTATTGATACAAATATAAATCTAAGTAGAAAAGGTTTCATTTTATACCAGGACCTGTAAGAAAATGTAAAGTATGTTAATGTCCTGTGCAAGAATTTTTAACATTTGCTCATTTTTATTTTTTCTCTGTCTTCCAATGGCACAGTGTATCATCAAATACAGCTTGACCATTAAACACTCAGTTCTGAATCATCATCTAACATCTTCCTGCAAATAATGACAACTTAATAATAAGAAATTTTTAAAAACTGATTTTATTATAAAGATTATGATATCTCTACCTATAATTCAGAAGTATTCGGCTGCAAACAACAGCATCATACAAAATGCAGACAGGCAGGACCATAATTCCCTGCTCCTTACATAGCATGGAGACTGTTGCCATGGATACACTGAGGATCACAAGAACCCAGTGTCTGGTAGCTGGTGCATGTCTGAACCAGGGCCAACCGGGCTCTACACTCCTGTAAATATGCATTGAAAGTATATAATGTGTGAGTGCATATGTGTTGTCATTTGAAGATCTTATTCAAGTTTCATATTGAATTTTAAAATATTCTCAAGTGATTTACAATATTATTATTTGAAATATCATCAACAGACTGTCTTTTTCAATGTACTTTCTTGATTTATTTTGATCCAGTAGATTGCAAGGAAATCATCATTTTTTCCTGCTTTATTCCATAATCCATACATATATTTACACTGATTTGCATAAACAAATGCATTAGGAACATGGCATATCAAGCTAGACAAATAGCATACGTAAAAAGTAGCATGATATGTGTCAGCCAATTAATCAAATTTGTGACTTTTACAAGTATCATCTGAAATATTTAACTAAATTCTACATCATTCACAATAAGTACAGACAGTGGAAGAAGACAATCCACTGCACATCAATATGCATCAAAGTTGAATGATCTGTCTGGAAGAGAATATAACATTCATCAAACCTTTTCAGGAGTGATTGATATAATGACAAAATTATGAAAGTAAACCTAGCACCAGTTTATGTAATATCAGCCTTCATCCCCAAGGCTACCTGAACTGGAAAATATATAGTGCAGCAATTGAGGGTGTATGAATATAGGGCTTTTATCCATGCTAATCATCAGATCAGAAAGATGGGTACACCTGATACATTGTAAAAGAATTGTAATTTTATTACCTATACATACCCCTCTGAATGGGTTTATCATAAAATTGCAATATAACCTGTAACAGTGAGTGCATTTTCAATGCCTCATTTTTCAAACAAGAGGCCCATGGGCCACATCGCTCACCTGAGTAACTTTGGCCATGCTGTTCATTACCAGACTTCCCCCCTTGTAATACCTATTGTGGCCCTGCCCTACCCCCGGGGGTCATGATTTGAGCAATTTAGAATCTACACTATCCCAGGATGCTTCCACATAAGTTTCAGTTTTTCTGGTCCAGTGGTTCTTGAGAAGATTTTTCCTATATATTTCAATGTTTCCCTATTGTGGCCCCGCCCTACCCCCGGGGTCATGATTTGAACAATTTAGAATCTACACTACCCCAGGATGCTTCCACATAAGTTTCAGCTTTTCTGGCTCAGTGGTTCTTGAGAAGAAGATTTTTAAAGATTTTTCCTATATATTTCAATGTAAAACTTGTATTCCCTATTGTGGCCCTGCCCTACCCCCAGGGGTCATGATTTGAACAATTTAAAATTTACACTACCCGAGGATGCTTCCACATAAGTTTCAGCTTTTCTGGCTCAGTGGTTCTTTAGAAGAAGATTTTTACAGATTTTTCCTATATATTTCAATGTAAAACTTGGATTCCCTATTGTGGCCCCGCCCTACCCCCAGGGGTCATGATTTGAACAATTTAGAATCTACACTATCCCAGGATGCTTCCACATAAGTTTCAGCTTTTCTGGCTCAGTGGTTCTTGAGAAGAAGATTTTTAAAGATTTTTCCTATATATTTCAATGTAAAACTTGGATTCCCTATTGTGGCCCCGCCCTACACCCAGGGGTCATGATTTTAACAATTTAGAATCTACACTATCCCAGGATGCTTCCACATAAGTTTCAGCTTTTCTGGCTCAGTGGTTCTTGAGAAGAAGATTTTTAAAGATTTTTCCTATATATTTCAATGTAAAACTTGTATTCCCTATTGTGGCCCCGCCCTACCCCCGAGGGTCATGATTTTAACAATTTAGAATCTACACTATCCCAGGATGCTTCCACATAAGTTTCAGCTTTTCTGGCTCAGTGGTTCTTGAGAAGAAGATTTTTAAAGATTTTTCCTATATATTTCAATGTAAAACTTGGATTCCCTATTGTGGCCCCGCCCTACCCCCAGGGGTCATGATTTGAACAATTTACAATCTACACTACCCCAGGATGATTCCACATAAGTTTCAGCTTTTCTGGCTCAGTGGTTCTTGAGAAGAAGATTTTTAAAGATTTTTCCTATATATTTCAATGTAAAACTTGGATTCACTATTGTGCCCCCCCCCCCACCCCCGGGGGTCATGATTTTTACAATTTAGAATCTACACTATCCCAGGATGCTTCCACATAAGTTTCAGCTTTTCTGGCTCAGTGGTTCTTGAGAAGAAGATTTTTAAAGATTTTTCCTATATATTTCAATGTAAAACTTGGATTCCCTATTGTGGCCCCGCCCTACCCCCGGGGGTCATGATTTGAACAATTTAAAATCTACACTACCCCAGGATGATTCCACATAAGTTTCAGCTTTTCTGGCTCAGTGGTTCTTGAGAAGAAGATTTTTAAAGATTTTTCCTATATATTTCAATGTAAAACTTGGATTCCCTATTGTGGCCCCGCCCTACCCCCGGGGGTCATGATTTTAACAATTTAGAATCTACACTATCTCAGGATGCTTCCACATAAGTTTCAGCTTTTCTTGCCCAGTGGTTCTTGAGAAGAAGATTTTTTAATGACCCCACCCTATTTTTGTCTTTTCTTGATTATCTCCCCTTGTAAGGGGACTTGGCCCTTTATTTTAACAATTTAAACTCCCCGTCACCCAAGGGTACTTTGTACCAAGTTTGGTTAAAATTGGCCCAGTGGTTCTTGAGAAGAAGTTGAAAATGTGAAAAGTTTACAGACGGACGGACGGACAGACGGACGGACAGACGGACAGACGGACAGACGGACGGACGACGGACAACGGGTGATCAGAAAAGCTCACTTGAGCTTTCAGCTCAGGTGAGCTAAAAAGCTTACAATAATATTAAGCAGAACCCAATGCCTGTGAAATTCTACCTTGAATTTACTTACACCTGAAAATGAAAAGGTAAGCCAAAAAATTGTTAATATGCAATTTCATGCACATGAAAAGTGCTGTGGTTGGGGTGAAAGGTATCTCTGCAAAATGATACTCTGACAATGTTTTATCATCCAAGTATACATTTTTGTTTGTTTTTAAAAACTCACCTGACATAGGCTATAAACGAAAGCATGAAGAAAATACTGGCCATTACATCTGCTCTGCCAACTATCCCAGACACCTGAAAATAAAGCTACAATTTAAAACTTAGACGCAAATGAAATCCTGGTATATGAAAAGAGTCTTAATTTTGATTAGATTTTATTACCAGTAGAGGTGCAAGGTACATGTAACTACATATCATTTTATACAGACTTTTACAATAACTTTTTAAAAATTCAACATCTAGGTAATTTTGATAAAGTCATTATCATTATATCTGAGGATAGTGTTCAAGCAACATTATACAAGCAATGACATAGGGAAAAATTGGATCAAAAAGTGCAGTCTATTAACTTAGCTAATTTCACGAACCTCAACCTCCAACCCCCAACCCCCACCAAACCCCTTTTCCTAAAAAAGACTAGTAGTAGTTTAACTAGCTAAATGGAATAAATTAATAAATTACCCATCTGGAAAGACAAAATTTTAATTTTGATAGGACTAAAGAGCTTAAAACTTTAATGATAAAAATTTAAAATTGTTTTTGAATAGTTTCAGGTTGATATTTTTGTAAGGCATTTCTGAACTTTTGACTGTCATAAAACAACCCAAGGAAAGATCAAAATTTTGCCAGGAATTGTTAAACCTTTAATTTTGGTTGGTCTTTCCATTCTGTTTTTCCCTATATAATATCACAAATGTAAACATGATCGACCCAGGGCAGAAAGTTGTGGTGTCTCTCTGAGGACAATATCATTTAAAACTTAATCTTATTGAGTCTCCATCTCAAAAATTCTCTCTCCATTAGATAGCAATGAGTCATTTTAATTAATGTAGAAAACAATCATTCCATGTCATTTTAAAATGAAAATTTTATAGTAAACTAAATTCTATGCTACATGTACTTGATTCTTTAAAGCTGATGTACACTTTTCATTTCAAGTGACAGTGCAAGATTGATTAAAAAAAAAAAAGACTTTTAAAGAAATTGTTAATGGACTATGTTAGTTGATTTCATCTTTATTATCCCCTCATTTGAATTTGTATACATCTAACTATTGAATTTTTCATGACAATATTATCAATGACACTTGAAATTCATATCATAATTTTCAATTATCATAAACTTGCACGTACTTTCCCTACATAAAATGGGATTTTCTCTTTCATGTAATATCTATGCATATGATAAAAATCAAAACATAGATGAATTTGAAAGGATCAATTTATGAATGTCTCTATAGGTTAGAACTAGTACTTGCTGACACAGGCAGTTCTTATATGGGACCTGTAAACATTATCTAAAAAAAAAATCTATGATAATCTATGGTAAGTTTGTAAATAAAGATTAACTCATACAAAATGGAGCCATTGAGTCTAAAACTTTTAAGTCCCTGCAACGAATTTCAGATCAGAGACCAAGTTTGATTTAAACACATTAATGACTATAGGATTAGTAACTGTTTCCCTGTTATAAATAGTCACTATTGCAATGAGATGTCATATTACCCTAACTAATATGACATCAGATTTATTCAATACACCTTGTTTAAAACTACAGTATAATAGGGTTTGTATAATATTTTATAGATAAAAACCATTTTAAATACTAGACCCAAAAATAAAATAATGCTTATTAAAGTGGTCCAGAAATCCAAGTCATGAATGGTTATATCTTCGCTTCAAAAGTGCAGTATTTGTGTACCGGCCTTTTTGCAGAATTATAGAATTATGCAATCATCTTTGAAAGCTTCAATTCTATAACCAAAAGAAATTTCAAATTCAGATTTGCGTTATTTGGATCAAATTGTGTCTGCGAAATAATGTGACCAATGAATAATGTGTATAACTTTTCAAATTCCATTTCCAATTACATTTGTTCGTATCTTTCATTCAAAGTGTGATTTATATTCATAGCATATTTAAATTACATGCAATATTTTATATGATGATTCTTACACTGCAAAAATATGAGAAAGTGAACATGTAATGGTATTTTCAGTTCAGAGAATGATTTATATTCATAGCATGTTTATAATTAAACATTAGGTACATTTCATTTCTCATCACCATGCTTTCACATCAGAAGTATTAAAACGGAAATCAACAAAAATATTTTCTTTGGAAAAGGTAAAAAAGGCACTGAATCGTAAGGGAACCCATCAGTATTTCACAACGAATGAGCATAAAATTAATGCCATCACATTCATTTTTGCTGCAATTCACAAAAAATCTTTACGGTCCCAATCTTCCTATACAAAATGAATCCCCATGAATGTATTAACTCTGCATTAAAGCTCATCCTGGGAATCTATTTATTGTGAGGGAATTACACTGAGGAGGATATAAATATTTATAGAGATAAATCAAGGCCAAACTTTTTTGGGTGCCAGAGGGATACATTTCCCTTTGTTGAGTGTTGACCCTTGAGGTCTGAGGTAAATTTTGTAAACAGAGTGAAGCATATGGGATAAAATAACATATACTTTAATTTTGAATTTAATACCCTCAGGGAAAAAGAAACAAATGCCAAAGTCTAAATTGGAAAAATCTTACAACAATAAATGCAAAAAACCATAATATGACAGGTGTTTCAAATCCATGCTAAATGAAGTCTATTTTCTGATATTTTTCTTTAATTTCAGTCTATAAACATTTTCATTATTGTTGAATGACAGAAATGTGGAATAAGTGTATATTGTTCTATAGTGTTTTTATCGATTTTGCAATTTCATTAATGTGTTTTGAGAAGAAATATTTTGAAAAGAGTTTTTATTTTCTTCATATTTACCTGAAACTAGGCTAATTTTCAAGAGGTCAGTTTACATGGACAACACCTCTTCTCTCCCCATTTTTTCTCATTTCTGAATCGGATATTCCATATGAGCCTGAGTTCTTAATATCAATGCAAGTCCCCCTAATGGAGTTTTACTGGCTCTTTTTAACCTTTTAAACATCATTTTATCATTAAACAACTTTAAAACAACCAAAAAAAAATCAATTTGGTCTGGCCTAAGCAGGGTTGTCCCTAAGAATTAAAAAAGTAGGGGACATTTAAAAAGTAAAAGGGGGTCTGGGGTTCCCCCATTAACAGAGTGATGAGGGGGAACACCAGAGTAACCAGGGGATTACGTCATTATAGGCGGGGAAATTCCCTGACCCCCAGGTCTTAGGGACAACCTTGCCTAAGTGTTGCTTTTACACAGCCAATGGGAGACAGTTATACTTACAGCCTCTGTGTGGATGGGATGGACAGCGAATATAAGACCAGATATCAGACCACACTGGGCAGGCAAACGAAGCGTTGTCTGACAGACATAGGTGAAGAGGATGGTCATCAAGGTATGGAGACAGACATTGACTACATGGAAACCATAGGGAGAACCCTGGCCAAGATGGAAATTAATGCTGAAAAAAATTAACATATTCATAACTTTACATTATTGAATTGTAAAGTTTATGAATGTAAATTTGAACTTGGTATAAAAAGACAAAACTATTGCAGAATATTGTACAATTGATATGGTTGATTTTGCCACATGATGGCAAACTTGGGATGTAAAAGTCAATGATGTATAATTAGGATGGCTTAATCTATCAAAAAAGTTGAACAACTTTGTTGAACAACATTGTTGAACAGCTTTGTTATGAGAATTGAACGACAATTATCTGCCAAATATATATTCCACATACTCTGTTAATCAAAAGATAATGAAGTGTGCTAAACAGATATGTTTCTTGAACAAGAGGCCCATGGGCCATAATGCTCATTTGTAATGTAATGTAATGTAATGAAGCTTTCACATAAGTTTCATCTTTTCTGGAAAAAGTAGTTCTTGAGAAAAAGTTTTTTTAAGAGATTCCAGAAAATTTTCATTTATTCTTAATTATCTTCCTTGAAAGAGGAGAAAGAGAACATGATCCTTCACCCATGGATGTTTGGTTGAAAATGGCCAAGTAGTTCCGGAGAATAAGATGAAATTGTGAAAAGTTTATGACAATGATGACAACAACGACAGACATCAGACAAATTTTGATCAGAAGAGCTTATTTGAGCCTGTGGCTCATGTCTTCAACACTGATATGTCAAATATCATTGAAATTGTAAAGTAAGTTGAATGTCCTAATCTTATGATGATTTCAACCACACTTTTTTGAACTCTTGGATAACTCAATGACTGTTTTACAGTCTACCCATGTCTGAGATAATTGTATTGAGGTGTAATATTGTACGTAATATGTTATGTAAAATAAGAAGATTTCAAACTGTTGAAAACTTTAAAATTCTAATTCACATGTAAAATACAAGAATTTCAGAAATTAAAAAATAATTTTATGTTATGCAGGAAGTTGTCTATTATAAAGAAAACAGAGGATAAGAATTGATTCCACTTGCAATGAAAGTAGACAAATAATTTGCTGATTTTCCCATCTTTACAAAATACCCTTGCATATAAAGTTTTAATTGCACATCTTCACATTGGTCTAAGTGACTTTAAATGATGTTTAAACAAGAGATTAAAGAGTATATAAATGAAAAGACATAAATACTTTCTAAAGCCACTTTGATCTTGTAAATTGGTCCAATTCAAACAAAGTTTGTGTACAAACCATAAGATAGATTGATTGAAGAAAAAAAATCCAGAATGCAACCCAGGATAAGTAAATGTTGGTTCAAGTAAATTTTCAAGATTATGCAATATGCCATTCCTATGAAGTTACTTTCAAATCAATTTCCAACTGCTGCATGAATGAGACATACATATATTTCTGTCATGTTAAAGAATTTTTTGCACATCATTGTTTTTTTTAGTTCACAATACCCTTAATCTTGATCTTTTTCACTTTAAAAGAATCCTAGAAAAAGTGAATGAAATCAAACATATCATTAATTTTATTCATCTAAATTAATTTCATAAAATAAAATGAAATTGATTGGAAAATTATTAAAACCATTAATTAATAATTAAGATATCTTAAATTCCTGTAGTGTCCCAGGGGTGGTATGACCAGGTATGAATAAATGATAGGTTAGGCACATGCCAATCATAAAATTGGCTGCTAAATGTAAGACCATAGTTACGCAGTGAATTATTGATGATGGAAAGTGAATTCAATCAAGAAATTAACTTAATTGCTTAATTTTCAATTAAAGAAGTCTGCAGTGTCTGAGAAAATGTATTCTATTCAAACAACATCCTCTGCAGGAAAACTAATTCAAAATTTTAAAAATTTTATCAATATTTCAACTGATACTTCATTTTACTCTGATGAATTATCTAATTCATTGATTTTCACCCAAATTTTTGTACACATGCATTGATTAATTAATTAATTTAAAAAAAAGACACAATGCAGAGTAGATATATATTATACTATTAGGTCTGTTTAAGCCCCTATATCTTGCTGGGACACAATAAAACTTCCTCTTTGGAGAGCATATTTTTCCCTTTAAAATTGTCCTGTGAAATCAAGATAATGTAATTATGCTCTTCTCGGAACAGTCTAACAATGAAACAACATTTTACCTTGATCTGGATCTGCTCATTATTACATAATGTTTGCTAATGGTAATAATGAATTTTTGTCTTGCCGCCATACAAGAAGTTTGTTGTATTCATAAAATGACTACGATCATTGATCATCCCTAAATACAAAATTACTTCAGGTAAAGAATGAGCATTTACACGATTTGTAATATTTTTTTTGTCAAAGAAATAGTGTGACTAACTTCACCATATTTTTAAAATCAAATATTTGCATTCATTTTTCTACCATGGCAATCATTTCTCTAACCTATAGAATTAAATTTTTTTTAGATATCCTTTTAATTTATTTTTTATCCTTTAGATAAATTTTCACCAAATCAAAACTTGGAAAGGGGGGATCGCAGAAATGTATAGTGTGTACCTGGCAAAATTGCATAGAAATAACTATAAATACTAACATTTTATATACAAGAACCTTTTGAAAGTTTGGAAAGAATAAGCTAAATGAAATTCAAGGAAATGTGAGGTAAAGTTCAGTAAATGTCAAAGATGAAATAGACCAGTTATAAAGATGTACCTGTTTAAGAAGTTATAGAAAGAATTCTTTAAAATATATTCCAGAAAATTTGCTAAAAGCAAAATCTGGTAATGGGATGAGAATCTTGGTCATTTACACCCTGGTATTGTACCAACTGTTAAAAAATATACTGGGGTACTATAATGTGTGTGTATATTGATTACAGGATTGAATAATTCACCATATTCTGAAAACTAACCTTCAAGCTTAATCAGGAAGTTTCTCCAAATTTTGGCATAAATTAGCAGTACTAATAATAAGGATGTGCTGCTATCTACATAAGATGATTAAGTTATTATGCTGAGATAAAAAAACTTATGGAATTCAAGAAAATGAACCCAAAACACACACACAAAACAAAATTAGAAATGTTAATTATGGTAAATATAATAGGAATGCCATAGCTACAAGATTAAATTAGTAGGTTGAGATGACCAGTGTCTCCAAATTTTTTAAATACCATGTTTAAGGAAAATATCCCTGATTTTCATACAATGCAAACATTAAAATCTCAAAGAAAATGGAAGAAAAAAGGCAGTTGGACTGACAAACAGATGGAAGGAAGACAATTGACCAACACTAAGACAGGACCAGCTAACATTTACATGGGACCTGCCTTAAGAAATTTTATACTCTGATGCATCAGTGAATATCTTTAAAGACATCGGAAAAAGCTAACCATAAGTGCCACTCAAAATCGATCACTTATGGGACACAATAAAGGTAAAATTTGTCCAGATATAAATGTCATTTCTGAGGATTTCAGTTTGGGGACACTCTGTTGATCATATCAGTTGTCAGAGTGACAGGTAAACTCAGGTACAAAACACATTAAATTTCAATTATCAATTTTGATGTGAAATCTAATATTAAAATCACAGATGCTTGACTTGTCACAAAGTAGTTTATTAACAGGCTGACATCACTTAACAAAACAAAAACCAAAAGGTCAAATATATATGTTGCTGATCTTGGAGACATAAGTACTCATTTAAAATAAAATACTGCTTAGCAACAAGATCATAAATCACCCTCCATAAAAGAACTGTGGCACTGAGGTTTCCAATTTCCCTCATGTAGGTGTGTTATTAAATAAAATTCTATTAAAAATATGTATAACTTACTAGTATAATGAAACTCCACATTGTAAAGTTATGTCATGATATGAAATACAATACTGCTCAAGATCATTATAACAATTGATAAATGCACATATTTATATTTAAATATCGAGCATGTAAGTTTTTATAGGATAAAATAGAGCGCTCCTTTCAGTACATGTAATGAACCTCGTACATGTACATTTAACATATCCTTAAATAAAAACTGTGCTAGCTAGATTATGATACATAAAATAGCGGATCCCTGATTTGACAAATGACAATTTGACAGCAGGCTACAGTACATTAACAGTGACAGCAATCAATAATACAGTAAAACTAAGTTTACAGGAGTAAAGTTCCAGTAAAGTATGACAGCAGACACTTCCTTAGTACAGTAACCTAAGTTTACAAGAGATAGTCAAAGACAGTTGACGCAACCATTGCATAGTAATACAAAGTTTACAATAGTTACAGTAACTAGAGTAACTGACTGCAGGCACATCCGTAATACAGTAATATAAATTAAGTTTTTAAGAGTTAGCTACAGTAAAGTAACAATGAAAGCAGACACATCTATATGACATTTAAGTAATAATTTAACTAAGTTAGTCATAGTTATGGTTAGTCCGATATATTATCCTAAAATAAATACATTTTTGCCCTTAGGGGAGGATTAAAACAGGGTAAGGTATCCCAACTTGTGTGCTCTCTAATCCAATTTCTTTATAAATAAAATATTGCTTCAATTTAAATATAGGGCAATATCGGTTAACCAATTTTTAATGGAGCCTTGAAGGAGATCTAAGTCTTAATTAAGAAAGGAATTAAGTCTTAATAAAGTTAAAGTTAAAACCAGCTGATCTGGGTCTAGTGCCTTAATTTGTACCTTATAAGGACTTTATTATAGCTTTATTCTCAGTACTTTATTAAGTATGTCTGATAGATTAAGAATTGAGACTACGTTCTAATTCACAGAGCTTTAAGGCATCCCATTATTCCAATTGTCTGCCTAATGTCACTTTGTCTGATCTATTTAGATGACTATCAACTTCAAACAAAATCCTCTATTATTAAAAGACATTTAAACCTAGTAGTATTCCTTGGAGGTCAAAGGGCAATCACAAAGTTTCTTCCTCAATTTTTGGGGGTTTTAGTAGATGTATTTATTTAAACCAAGATATTCTATTCAAAATCAACGGACTTAAAATTAGTACGCATTAGAGGGTTTATTAATGGATAAATGAACATCTTCTTGGTCAGTAAGTTTAAAACTAGGTGACATACATTTATCAAACCTATTAAAGACTCAAAGCTCAAAGACCACCAATTTATAGTTAATTAAATGAAAATATTTCCCAGACGCTAGATAATTTTTCTCCAAGGAATATTGTTTTCTTGACATTATTCATGGCTGATGAAGCAAAACCTTTCTGTTAGATGAACTGAGAAAAAAAATTAATTGTAACAACTCATGAATTACCCAAATTGCACTCAGTGATTTTCTAAACTTATGAATGGAATAGTTTCAGATAGTTAAACCTTAATTAAGATACAGATAATTTATATTTTTTAAACACGCAAAAAAACTGGCCGTTAATCGGATTTCCTTCATGATAAGAAATTTAATAAACACAATGTAGCAGTAAATTTTTAGATTTTATGATGGTGAAATAATTCGTATCAGGGCATAAAAGCAATTAACATCACTCATGTGAATCCAATCAGATTTTACCTTTTCTGTTTTTCAGCTCTGCAAATCATAATCAAGGAGAGGCATTTGTATTTTATGTGCCATTTTATCAATTTAACCTCTTAAGATGTTTTAAAGGGATTACCTGTTAATACATTGTCAACATTTAAGAAAATATCAAACAAAAAATGGATCAACATTTGTTTGCATTTCAGATCTATACATGTATCAGCAATTTTTGTTAAGGATTAATTTCTTGAATGATTTAATGACAATGTAACACCTTAATATAAAGAAATTATTCAATATCATTTGGTACAGGTTAATGCTATTAAGATCTCAGTCAAAATCCTCTTTTTACTATATTACATAAGGGTTTTTCACAAAAGAATGGAAATTTCTTGATACCCTTTCTTTTCACCACAAAACTACTGGTAAATTTCTTAATTTTTACAACCTTTTATTTTCTCATTACAATCAATTATATATTTTTTGCTTGGACTGGATTCATTTAACATCTAATAAAAATAAGCAGATCTATCAATACTTTTAACAATAATAGTGTGGTCGGAAAGAAGAAACAATTCTTTTCATGTCTGCTTATAATTGTTACAAGGAAAAAAATCAATTTTCCTTTCCTATCCTTTCTCTCTGTTATTCAAGATAAGAGCACATTTTCCCTGCCAAATCAATTAAGCTTAAAAAAAAGACCACTAACTGGCTGGCACACTTTTTCTCTAGGTAACCTTTATTTTCACCTGACTTAAATTTCTTTTGTTGTCATCCTATTACCCTGCTTTATGATTAGACATGTCCTTTTCTTAATTACTCATATAAAAAGTCCATTAATCAAGACATTCTTTCCTCTTTTTTTACTTTGGTTAATTGCAAAATTAAAACCAAATTCACTTACCGAAAACTAAGAACAGTGAATGGCCTATATGACTTGTGACTGCGAGGGTCAGCCATGGGTCTCCCCCAGAAGTCATTCTCCCAGAGAGACCACAATGGATTTCTCCCATTTACGTCTCCATTGTTTTTTATTGCAAACAAGTCATCATGTACAAAATCTCCATTTAATGAATTCAGGTAGCAAACAAATGCTGCAGAAGCTGCCAAAATACATATGACATATTTCTCAGGAATTTTAATGTATTTTCCGTTATCTGCCATCTTTGACTTCTTAATTAATCACTTCCATATCACATAATTAATTTTTCTTAAATTAACTTCTTAGTTGTTCACTCACACAGGTATGTCATTTTAAACCTACAACTTACAGCACATGGATTTAATGGGGTCACATGACTTAATGTTGTGATCACATGACCTGTCTAGTGGGCCAATAAAATCTTTATCTGATATTATCTGTAGTTTTTTTGTTAAATGTGAATTAAACTTAAACAGTGTCAATAATGACAAAAATAAGTTTTTTCATCCTGTCGTGGCAAGTGAAAAATTTCATCAATAAAAAATCATTATGCTTTATTCATGCTGCTTACTTAATTCATGCTGTAATAGTCCAGTCAATGAATTTCTTTTTTCAATTGATCAAACATTTATCAAAATGTCAGACCGTTTTGGTTGATGCAATAATTACTTCTTGCGAATTCTATTCAATTTATATTATATAATGAATGTATCCTATAGTCTAGAATATTTGATCCTCTGATTATTATGTTTTTTCTGTGGTTATTCATATTTAAGCTGAGATTCATTATATCTAAATATGTTTGATATAATTCACATGCAAGGAAAGGGCGTATTAAGCTTTTAGAACTTTTGCCCGATCACAATTGTAAAATTTAAAGGCAATAAAATATGTTCAAACCAATAGTCCAGTCATCAAGTTTTTTTCATTTTCATACTCGCTACTGGATCCTGGATTTGGTAACTGAAGCTAGTTTTTGCTAATGTTTTGTCTTCTACCACAAAATTACTGGTCCTACAATAAAAAAGAAATACATACAAAAACCATAATAAATTCTGCCAAATTAAAGATCCAATAAGTTAATTTAAATTTCATTAAAAAAAAATCATCCCACCTTTATGTTTTTCTTTTCAAATATACTTCTGAAAACTGTTGAACATGGTGAAATACTTCTTTGTGAAAAACCTCTTTCATAATGTCTGATATTTTTATTATATTATTAACACCATTAATTGTATTATATTTCATAATAGAAACAGTTTTAAAAAATACATTTAAGAATAAATAATATAATAAGTTCATGATATAAATTTAAACAAGTTTCCTTCAAAGTTGCTTTAATTTTCTCAAAATTATTTCAATGAAACGTATGATTGGCAAAATTTTTATTTCTAAGACTAAATTTTACAAGGCACAAAAGCTAATATTTTATGCCTCTGTACGCATCTAGATTTCATTCTTAATCCACTTTTAAAAATCAAAATTATATACCCATAAAATGATGCAGAGCTTACCCTATTATAGGTGGGGAAATAGGACAAATATGACCCTTTTTCTTATTTTTAAATCATTTGTCTGCTTTGGTCAAAATTCAGAAAAAAAATTCTGTTTCATTATCACTGTTCTAAAATTGAACTATCAGTCTACCAAAAATAACTCACATACAGGTACTATTGGATCTTATCAATGATTAAAAAAGGGAAAGTTCCACTGGGTAGCAATTTCACACAGAATTCCATACCTTTATATAGTGCAAATAAGTAGTACCATATAACTTTTAACATTTATTTTACATCAACATATCAATTACAAATATATTCTACAATAAATTATATCTGGTCCACAGATGCACAATATCACATTAAATCACAATACCAACAAAGAGGGATAACTCTTTGAGAAAAATAATCAATTCCTATTAAACTTTCCTAAGTCCTTCACTTTCCTTAGTGTATACAGATCTACATAAATAAATAATGATATGCATGTTTACAAATAAAATGCGTTTTTTATGAAAGTGTGACTTACATGTAAAGGGTTCGAATACCTGATAATTTTTTTTTATATAAAAAGAAAATTAAAAGAAAATATGTATTTAGTAAGAAAAAATAAAGAAGGTAACACAAACAGATCAATCAGAGCTGGGATTTTTAAAAAAATATTTTATAAATCAGATCTTATCATGAGCTCCATAAACCTGTTGTGGATTCTTCAGATAAACAGATGATATAAGTGGTGATTATTTCAGTTAAATACAATGTCAAAAGACTTCCAAAATCAATACATTTTATATGAACTCTAAATTATAAACATCAGATCAAAAAAATATTTTACGGTCTTGGATATAAATATGAAAATTACCCTTCAAGAAAGGTCACACATTATCAGAAATGTGCAACTGAACATATCAAATTAGTATACAGTCATGTATTATAGCACATAAATGAATCTCCATATTCATTAGTGAGTATCATTGAAAATTTATTGCAAGTCAACATTACTTCTATCTTCTAGAACATACACAAAATCTCATTTTAGAGTGCACATATGTGCATATAGAACTCTAAAACTATGCTTGTATATTTTTGTAAAATATAAAGGAAAAAAAAAACAAATTTACATGTAACAAGATACTTTTGTTGTAATTTTCTTAATCACTGTAAAATGAATACCTTTTTAAGGAAAAAATCAGACATATTTAAGACTGAAGATTATTGTTAGAAGAACCACTTCTATCTCTGGGTGATAGATGTATTACTGCTTTAAATGAATATGAAAAAGAGTCCCAAGGTTATCCCCCCTTAAAAATCTGTTCAAGCCAAATTATACTGAGCCAAGTTAAAGTCACACACACACAACTGAGGAATGTTTAGATTATAAAAATACAGTGTTTGTGTCTTTACACCCAATTTATCTGCCCTTAGTGCTGGAAAATTCTTTCCAAAATGATATGCGATTTAATTAAAAGCCTCTTACAATATACCAGTAGAAATCCAAAAAAAGTCATTTAAACCTGACTTGGAATGTTACAAAAAATGTAAAACGGCAAGAATAAAATAGAAAATGAACTACATGTATTATATATTACTCATGTATTGATTTCAAAAATGGATCTAAATAACTCTTGAAATCATGAATGTAATAAATAAGTTATTATATTTGAGAAATTTCAGAGAGACAAAAGGCTCGAGGGCCTTGGTGCTCACCTGAGTAACAAGATCACTACAACATACTCAGACAGACTGAGCTATACTTGTCCTGGAAATGCTGAGTTCTCCTACAAATTTATAACTTAACACAGATTTCAGGAATTTTCATTAATAAAAACTTTTTCTGATATTTTACTGCTAATAATGAATATCTATAATGGCATAGACCACAAGATTTGCTATTTCTTAGCCCTCTTCACTGATAGATGCACAGTGTACCTAATTTGGTTGAAATTGGTTTTGATTCTTTAGTTAAGAAGCTGAAATGTTAAAAGCTTTATGAAGAGAACAAATTTGACATAATGAGTGACTCAGGTGACCTAAAAAATCCATGTACAAAGCTTTCAAAAACTAGGTACTTAATAATTAACAGAATTATCATCTCTGAAGTAAAACATAATGTACACAATCTGAAAGCTATTGCTAAAAAATATATTGCACCAACTGAATAGAATACATCAAATACTAGTATCCAGACCACATACCTCCTTTCTGTAAATCAGAAAACATATCAATTTTCAAAGACTTGCCTTAAAATGTAGCAGTATTTTAATGAGTATCACTTTCTGAAAACACTGGATAAATTAATATTGCTTTTATCTTTACACATGTATGTAATCATGTATACCAATAAAAAGTTTATCTTTCACTGTCTTAAAAAAAAAGTACTACAATGAGGTATAACAAAGTTATAATGCAAAAGTTATAGAATTTTTTAAAAATCTAATGTTCTCAATTAAGTCACGTTTAATTTATAAATAACACTGTAAACAATTACAAACATCAGATTCGACAACATGTAATTACTGAGGACTTTCACTTGAATTTTCTATACTTTATTTTTGGCCTCAAAACTGAGTTGCTCTTCCTCCATCTCTTTTATCTGAGTAAGCCTCCACTTTGTCTTTTACTTTTTTCACACCCTGTACACAGTTTAAGATACCGGTTGATTTTTCTACAGCATGTCCTCTTCTTGTAATATTACCTATGACATCCTTGTTATAGTTTCCTGTAGAGGAAAAAATTATTGTATAAAAATAAATTAGCATTGATATATTGAAACACATTTGAATAGATTTGGGGGGTGTCAGATTTTTGTCCCGTTTCTGGAAGAATTCCATAAAATTTTGTCTTTGAAAAAAAATAAGGTTAGCCATGCATTTACTGTTTAACCTCATTTGCTATGATATTGGTAATACAGTACATGTAATGGGAATATACATGAGGGTAAATATAAAATAAAACAGGCTCTAAGAACTCTACTGACCTTCATAGACAATTTTTTCTGGAGATAAGATGCTGTAAAGCCTGGGTGCCTGAATGGCCTCTGTCAAATTCATGTTGTAGTTTATCACATTAAGAACAGTCTGAACCACTGCAGAGGGAATGGAATCCCCGTCTGTGGCCCCTAAATTCAGCCGCCGCGCACATGACACTTTGCTGTTGACAACTATGATGGGAGCCATATGGGACAGGGGGCGCTTTCCACCAACAATGTAATTCAACTAAAAATTGGTTTTAAAAAGCAATCTTGTTTAAACCAGTATATGTGTGACACATTATGACTCACTAAAGAGTATCAAATGGGTGAAATTTTCAAAGAAAAAGACATACATGTGCATATTTTATTACATATTTCATTGTCTCTATACTTTCAAGAAAAAAAAAACTTTTATTTTTCACCCTCTTGATCCTTTTTTGAAGACCAGTGAAAATGTTTCAAATAAAATAAAATCATGCAAACCATGCTGTGTTAGTAAGTAACTCAGAATGTCACCTGGTTGGGTAATCTTTTTCCTGAGGCATATGGAATCTCAAAGTTGGACATCTGGTTATTCAGTACAATACCAGACCTGGTTGTTATTCCTGAACCAAACCAAGAGTTCACAGACCTATAAGTATTCAATAAATGATTTTTCTCAAGTAATATTATTGTTCTGGGAGATAAAGCTGCATTCTACATTTATATATATGTATTCATTGTAAAGAAAATTACATGAAGGTACATGTGTTTGTTAGATTAAGTATCATTAGAAAAACAAGGAATACCACTTAAATAATAAAATCTTGAACTATAAGTAAATGGTGCCCTATATGTATTCATAAAAGTAGCCCATAATTAAGGTGGTATGGGATACCAAACGAAACTTCTCCTACATATTTATGTACCCAAATTAGAAGGATTTGAAATACCCCCACCTTTCAGTATATTGAAGTGTAATTTTAATAATTTTTTTATTATTTTAATGAGAAATGCAAAAACGATTTTTTTTCTTGCATAATTCTTTTTTCATAAGCTTAATATTATAGGCAGGCGTTTGCTAATATAAAGTGTTTATAAAAACAAAAATGACAAGAAATATGTCTTAGTATTTTTTTAATTTTCAACAAAAAATAAGCGTAAAAAACTAGGAAAACTTTATTTCTTGAAAACAGACGGATAACATTTCATGAGAGTCTACAATAAGAATGTTTCTTAATATGTTAGCAAAGTGAAATAAACAAATTGAAAATATATATATAAATGGAAAATATAAAATGCATTTAAAATTTTTTGAATTAAAAGATCCGAGCGGAAGAGTTATCCTTCTTTATTTTCCAAGGGTTGAAAAAACCTGGGTGCTATTTTAGAAATGATGAGCATTTTTTCCCAAACATAAAAAAATCTCACTTTGTAGTTTTCAACTTTGAGCGGTTTTGAAAACAATGCATGGACAATCGCTTTCCAGGACGTGTCTTGTTCAGAGCAATTGCATTCATCTGAACGTTTTAGGACTATATACAACAGCTAGCTGATTTGTGACCAAACAGTTACTTCTTGAATTAAATAACAAAAAAGTCCAGCTCTGGTTAACGTGATAATTGATTGGTGATAATTCAGCACAATGTGAAGTAATCGCACTTATCCATGCCTCACCACACACAAGGTGCTGTACAGTTACTCAAACAATTGAAATACAGCTTTTGCTTAAAAGTGTTCAAAAGCAGCAATGTTGAAACTACCTTTTACAGGGGTTTGCTTTTTTAAATGTCCGTTGTACAATTATAAGTAAATTTATATACTTGCGATTTTTTTGTCTGTTTTTACTTAAAATGCCGACTTGTGAGAACTTGCATTGAAATAGGCTTCAGAGTGTTCTTTTCAACGGTGTATCTACAAATTTTGACCCGATAATAAGCACTCATGCAAATCAAAACAATACTTCAAATGGAAATACGTCATAACGTGGAGGTATCCCATACTACCTTAAGCATAGTTGTTAGTGCCATTATTTCTTAAATCTCAACTGAAGTAGAAATTCTTATAAATATATTTATAGTTCAAGAATCATCATTTTTGTTTAACATGGAACATATTAACTTGTTTTTTTTTTGTCTTGTAGTTTATGACTTCTACCTGTAATAAATTCTGATTATGCTACAATAAGTATATGTTAAGTAAAAAAAATGGAACAGAATGAGTAAAAAACAAATATAACTTACGATGTTACAGATACCATCAATTCCTGGGCATCGACTATGGAAACATGACTGCCTCCTTTGTCAGTAATGTCAGATAAAGCCTGGACACGCCCACCATAAAACCGAGGGTCACTGTGGGTCATGTTTGTTGTCATGTTTCTGTGTTTGGCAGCTACTGCTTTACTACAAGAAAAATACATTCTTGAATTGTCTGTTCAAAATGTCTCAAGATTAAGATATTGCAAAGCAAATACACATCCTGATAATTCCCAGAAAGTCTTATGACTTACCTTAACATGTCCTGTGTAACATTGTCGACCCTGTCCTTGTTAAAGTCTGGATCACCTAAGTGTTGTTGCTGTGCACTGGCAAATTTTAAAGCCTAATAAAAATAATTTTTAAATCTTATCCAAAAATCTATGAAAATTAAATATGAGAAGTAAAAAATAGTGCAAAAATACATGTATCTCACGTTGCTCGGGTCATTTGGTAATTTTCCTATAAAAAAAAAATAATGTACCTCTATCATCCTGTGTACTGTCTCCGGTTTGTTCCGGACCAAGGAATAACCCTCTAACATGTTCAGGGCAGACAACACAGAGAGTCCAGCTCCAGGAGCAGGGATTGTCATCACTGTATTCTCTACAACAAAAAAATGTTTGTCATCACCTATGTTATGTGCATTTCTGTAAATCTGATTTAATCTTTGTTTTTTTTTAATTACCCAGTACATGTATTTGATTACATGATATGATCAAACAATTTGAGTGGCACAAGATATACAAGGGACATTTCAATAGTTCTGGCAACTGGTGTGCAGTAAATTAATGAGTGTCATTATCATAAATTAAATTATATCAATCCCTCAAAATAGTCTCCGTTGACCTGGACACACTTTTTCAGTCTTGAAATCCTTGTGGAAAATGCTGCCCTATAGTCCTCTTTCGGTATACGCTTCATACACTGGAATACAGCACTTCCGACTGCATGACGACTTTCAAATCGCCGTCCTCGGAGGGCTTCTTTGATAACGGCATTCACCAAAAATCGCATGGAGCTAGGTCAGGACTGTAGGGTGGATGTGGTAAAACGGCAATACCATTTTCCTTTAAATATTTGGTTACTACCTCTGATCTATGGGCAGGTGCGTTGTCATGGAGGAGCTTTATTCCTCTAGTACTGGTTGTTGGTCGGGTCGTTTTATAGTGCTCTGCAACCTGAGACAAGACATTCTCTGCATAAAATTCACCAGTAACACTGCTGTGTTCTGGAACCGGAACTTGAGCAACAGGGCCTTTGGAATCAAAAAATAAGGCGTACATTACTCTCCGGACAGACCGGTTTCTGCGTGCAATTTGAGGCCTTGTATCATTTTCACCGATCCAAACTTTATTATTGAGCTTAGTTTCCGGTTCAAAAAAATATATCCATGTTTCATCACCAAGTTACAATCTCATTTATTCGCCTTTGGTCACAATCTTCATAAATTGTTAGTAACTGTGAAGACATTTCTACCCGGATGCGCTTTTGCTCTTCCGAGAGAAGATGCGGCACCCATCTAGCACAGACTTTCCTAAGCTTTAAGTTTTCCTTTAAAATACGAAAAACTGCTGACGAATTAATGTTAGTTAAGTCTGCTATTTCCTCAACTGAATATCTAGCATCATCAGCTATCGTATTTTGAACAGTGACGATTTCTTTTTCGCCATATGCACAAACTAGACGCCCCGAACGGGGGTCATCTTCAATTGATTTTCTACCCTCTTTAAATTGAACTACCCATCTTGCTATTGCTCGATATGAAAGAGCATGCTCTCTATATACTACATCTAAATCGGCTTTTATTTCTGTTGCCGTAAAGCCAAGCAATGAGCAAATTTTGCAATACGCTCTTTGCTCAACAAAAAAATTGTTCTCATTATCAGTCATTTTTACGCCCAGTATAGAGAGTATACCTAATTATGACGTCATTTTAGCAGACCTATACGTCATTTTGAATGTAAAATGACGTCACTACTAATGCATATTTGCCTAAGCTTTACAGTGGTATCAGAGTCATTTTAATCTGTAAAGTAGTTAAAATTTTATATACCAGTTGCCAGAACTTTTGAAATGCCCCTCGTACACTGTAGCATTGGAAAGGTTTACCTGTAACATTCCTTTCATAAAAGTGACATATCCATCAAATTTAAATATATGAATATTCCTTGTTATATCAGAGCCTTGTTTAAGGACACATAGGAGATTAAATCTGAAAACCTTCACACAAGAACAAAATTGGTTAAATTTGATATAACTTGTCACTTGTTCTCTCTTGTGCTTTGTAATTTTAGTTATTACAAAAAGATAAATATTTTTGTGTAAATTCGACAGTAAATCCATCTACCATGGTACGTTGTCTGGACCTTGTTCCTGTGCTTCGCTTCGTATTTCTTCAGATCATCCTCTGTCATCCAGTCACTGATTCCTGATGTACCAGAGGGAGTCAGCTACAAACGAAAAAAAAAAAAGATTAAAGAAGTAAAGCATCACATCAATGGCACAAGTATGTTAAGTATACCAAAACAAAAAAAGATACATCCTTTTTTTTTATACATAAACACGACGATCCTGCTTTCTGCAATTTTATTTCAGCCCCCTGTCTGCTTTTCCATGACTACTACACAATGCTTTACTGTGATCAGTTTTAAATATAAGTTATGTGTTATCTCCTTCATTTGATATCTCGTTTCCATGATTTTTAAATGGCCACAGGTATCACAAGTTTACTGATATTTATTTTCCTGCACTTTCACACAGAGTTCTAGTCAGTAGTACTCAGTATGAACTCAAAGATCGGAGAAATAAAAATTGCAAGAATTTCGCAGTTCACTTTGGTTGGTGATAGTTTTCTGAGGTCACGGAAATTATTAATAATGAAACATATCATGGTGGCTGATGTAAAACATACAATGGAAAAACCTATATAAAAGTCAATTTTTCAAATAATGGTGATATTTCTTACCAATGCAACTAGGGAAAAATAATATGCAAAGCCACAATTGCAATTGATGCAATAGGAATTGCTGTGGTATTAAGATATTTACCTGGCTAATGGAAAAGGTACATGTTAAATGTCCCAGAAAAGCAAAGAATATATATTGCAGAATAGCAGAATGATTTGTCTTTGAAAAGCAAGATTTTTTTCGTGAAAAAGCAGTGTCGAATCGTGGAAAAGAGGATCTGCGATAAAAAAAGTCCCTCAGCTGACAATGGATATGTACATATCTAACAATTATAAACTGGAGTAAGATTTTTAAATTGACAAGGTAGATATATACATAATATACAAATGAAGAATAAGCACATGAAATCAACATCTGCAATCATATATAATCAGTAATACAAACATACATACATTACATATTGGAGTTGTATAATATACACTCACAACATCAATGATTTCTTTGGTGTATTTCCCATTGTATATGGCTGAGGAACCTTTTTCAGAAATCTCCTGCAAAATTTCTGCTAAATCAGGACGTCTGATCTTTGTCCCCAGAGTCACAAATCTGCCATCTTTGATGTAGTATTTCTGGAGATTTGGACTCAAATCATTTGTCTTCAGTTTTCCACTTTTAAACATATCATCTGTTAAAAATAGTTGTTGTTTAAAATCCAGAATGCTTGTAGCAAAATTATAAAACTGAATAAATAGAAAAATTTGCCTGTTAATTAAGACAAGTAAACTCCAGAAATTCTGAAAAAAGAAGCACTGCTCTGTACAATTTTATAACGACTCACCCATAGACTTTGTAACTTTGAATCCCTCTTTAGCCAGAGAGGTAACAGGGTCTACTAAGGAGCTCCAGGCAAGCCTAATGAAATATAAAACTTCCATCAGTATGTTGATAATTATGTAATGACATCGAAGCTTACTATATCCCCAAATGCTCCAATTAATTCAACAAGTAACATATCCACTCCATTGAGGATTTAGGATTAGGAATAATACACCTTTTCTGTACTTACTTTCCATATTTCTTGTGAGTAGATTCCAGTCCTTTCAATTCTCCCGGGACACCAACAGAAAAAATGCCCTACAATGCCATAGACAAATGTTTCAGTATTCAAAAATAAATACAAAACTCCACATCTTTTAATGGGATAAAACAAATAAAAACCAGTTATGAAGCATCATGCCTTTTCAATTAAAGCTCTGTCTCCTTTGAAGAGGTCAGTCCTGGCTACAGATGGTGCTGTTTCCCTAAAATCGATGACATCACTCCATTTTGTTTTGTGATCATATACCATCACGAATCCACCCCTATTAATATGAAGATACAAAATGAATGAATGAGGATTCAAAATGACTTTCTGTAACCAGATATAATTTTGCTTTACTATTATTTCAGACTTAACCCCATGGTATATGATAATGGGGTTACATTTCTCAGTCAAATCCTCTAAGAGTCTACGAGCAAAACCAGTACAAGGTTATTCCGTGTTCATATAATATGTGCTTACCCGCCAATACCCGATTTATGAGGGTTGACAACTCCTGCACACAAAAGTGTTGTAACTGTGGCATCGACTGCATTACCTCCCCTCTCTAGAACTGTAAGTCCGAGGTCAGAACACACACCAACATCAGATGCTACAGCTCCTGAAGCTCCAACCTAAATTACCCATTATAATGACAAAGATTTAATCAGAAGGAAAAATCTAAAATGCCAGGAATGTGCTAACACAACCACAACGTAACATACCTGAGGTTTTCCAAAATAAATATATAGCACCAATGCAATGGTTATAGATATAGCCAAGATAACAGATGATGCAATGATTATCCTTAATCCACGAGAATGAGCCCTACAATAAAATTAAGTGAGACTTGGTGAGTATAGCACATCATTCCTATTATAATTATTTGTTATTATAATTTTCACATATCCTCTCCACAGTAAGTAAAAACAAGGTATAAATATGAAGAATTTTAAATGATGAGAACTAAATTTTACGGCTTGTGAAATTATATAAAATTAAGTTTCCAAAGATAAAATGTGATTAATATTAATCAAATTGTTGAAATGGTTTAGGTCGTGGATATCAGCCTGGAAAGCTCATTTGGTAGAGCACATGACTAGTGATGCAGGGGTCCCAGGTTTGATTCCTGGTCCAGCCATACATTTTTTCCTTTTTGGTTACATTGTATTAAATAGGTCAGTAGCATTAAATGCTTTTAGTATCTATGTCTAGTCAAAAAAAAATTTATACATACACATCTTTCCCTGAGGTGACTTTTTTGTCCAGGTGCAGAGGTGAAGTCTCTCCCTTCTTGAGACCATCACTTAGTACATGTCCCCCTTTACCAAGTACAGTTTTATCTTTTGCTATTAATCTTGTAATATCAGCTGAAAAAATAGCACACTGTTTGAATGAGATTCAAAATTGAACTTTTCAAAATTAAAATCATGACATCATGTAATATGGGCTTTAGATTGAACTTCCATGACCTTTATTTGTAAACAGTACAGAAAAAAGATAACTATCTTAAATTTTAACACTTTTCATGATTATCAAATTTCGATGCATTAGGAGATTCAAAATTAGCAGACTTATATTTACAAATTGTTTCTTCAGATTAGTAGATCAAACCAGAAAATTACATCATGAAGAGTCCAATACATGCAAAAGTTCTAAAACTCTTATCCATCACTGTACATAACATTATAATTGACACAAAATAGCAACAAATTACCTAGAAATATTTGCAAATTATTGAGTTGCATGTATTGTATTTACTTTAGGAAGTTTCCCACTGTTGTCATTATCCAAAACAATGCTTTCTATAAAGGATGAACACTTTTCCAAATGGAATCACTTATATTGCAAAAAATTACTGGAACTATCATGTTTTGTTGTTTCATTTCATAGAATTTCTGTAGAGAAGCAAGGTATGGCAAGTAAATTTCAACCAAGCATTTGGTCTTGGGCACCTTATTCCTCATCTACTGTCTAATCTTATTAAAAAAAATGGGTTTTTTTTTCTTTTTCTGCTACCACTTAAAATGAAAGTGGGGTTCAAGTGACAAGCTTAATTTTTTTAACAACTTTTATGGCCCATGTCTGAGAACCCCTTGGGCAAGAACTAAAATTTCAAAAACCTTTTTTGCACGTCTACAGGACCTGGTCAATCAAATATAAAAAAGAATTTATTGGCTTCCTCTAAAACTGTTGGAGAAGACACATCAAGCAGAAATTGAAATGGCATACACAACAAATAAGGTATGCAATACCACACATTATTTAGATTGCACTGTGACTGAATTTTTTTCATGTAACTACTTAAACTCATTGTCACACATCAAGTGGGGCATTCAAATTTCTTAGTCTTATAGTTCAATCAATTTCAACTGCATATTGCAGTCATTACCAAAACTGCATATTGCAGTCATTACCAAAACCCACAGGTCTGAGGCCAGTAAAATTGGCTGGGGGTCAGTAAAGTTGAAAAATCAAATAAGTCTGATGGGCCTGCAGGTTTTTTAAGGCCCCATTTTTAAAGCTAAAAAGAAGGTATTTTCCCGAATTTTTGCTCTAAAATTCTCAACAAATTAAAAAAAAAATCAAAACTGTATGAACTGCATTGGTCATTAATCTCCTTTATATAATACAATTAGCAGTACTACTTGATTTATTTATTCCTAAAGACAATCATCTTTTTTAATCCGAATTTCCTTCATTCCTCTGTTCATGTGAAATACATGAAGATATGTCATGTTATTTGCAATTGCTCAATCAACTAAAGAGTAATTGTTAAAAGAGTTATTTTAGATACAAAAATGTTTTTACACTTGCATTTAAAATATTTGCTACAATATATTTTTAAAAAATAGATGTTTCACTCCATTTTGGAGGAGCTACAATGTAGTCTCCTACACATTTCTTTTCATAAAACATTTAATAGTACTTTTAAATTGAAGATATACTTTTGATCACACTACTTGATTCTCTTGTTTATATCAGTTATTCATTCACATTAGATTGATACACAATAGATATAAGACTACATTTCGAGAAAGTTGAATATGAGATTAATCATTATTGATAATATTTATAAAGAACATTTTTCTGTAAATTTGAGATTGAGAAAATGGAGGGGGCCTCCTAATTTCCTACGGGGCCTGTAGTTTTCACTGAGTGTCAGGTCTTACGAACCAATGGAGCAAAACAGTTTTGGTAAACAAGGATAATGCAAAGATTGAATATTTTCAATAAGAGGAAGATTAAAAGGGAGTTTCAGAAACAGGGCAATTTGGAATTGTTTTGTGCTTTTTCAAAAAATAAAATTAAGCAGAATAGGAAAGTCAAAATATATTCTATTGATTCCATATCCAATGTGTCTATGAAACTTCACTTTATAGGCCTATATCCTGCACAATACCAAACGTGCTTGTCGCGACCTATTTATCGCTTTTCTCTCTACTATTTGTGTATTTTATAGCACAGTGGTGGTAAAAAAGTCAGAAAACAAATAGATCATGAAAAGCCACTGTGTTTAACATTCCTAAATCTAGTGAAAAATTGTAATGAATCGATTTGTAAATCATGAGAAACTGAACACCAAACGTGATTCTTCTGGCAGGAGACAAAATCTCCCGATATTTCACCCCCCTTCCGCCCCTCCCGATTAATTTTTAAATCTTCCGTGTTTTAAAATTCTTCAAATTAAATATTATTTGCAATATTTTTTTTAATGTGTTTCATATAATTGCTCAGAATGAAAAGAAATTGAGATAACAATGCCAGTGCAATAAATTTTCACAGCGGTAGGCTTCGTAGGAATCAACATGAGGTCGTATAATTATGTTGTAAAAATTAGTGATATTTCAACTTGAAAAAGGACCATTGATGTTTATTAATGAATGCAAAACATTGTAATTAGTTGCTAAAATACCCAGTTGCCATCTTCTAATGCTGCTTTGGTCATTAAAAGATACAGTTATAATGTAGGTCACACTAAAATAGATCACACTACAGGGTGTTGCTAAAGAATACCTGACTCTAATTTGTTTATTTTTTTAGAGGGTACTTTTTTTCATCTGTACATATTCTATTTAAAAACAAATTACTGACACAGAATTTGTTACATAAAACCTAGCTATGTTTTACTTCACTTACTAGTTGATATATCAATACTAAATCAAAAATAAAATTTTATCCAATGTTTTAATGATGCTGTTAACTCTTAATTAATTTACTAGGAAATGAGTTGATTTCATTTTGAATACTCAATTTCACGTCATTTGAATAAAAACTTTATCATATTTTTCTTAAAACTATAGACAACAACTTTATAAAATAAAATTTGTAAAGTAATAAACTGGGAGAAGGTATTTTTTTCCTGAATTTTGGGGGTTGGATGGTCTTTTGCGATTTGAAAAAATGTCGATAAAAAATCTCCAGCTTTGAGACCCAAACTCCAGCTGAAAATTTTCAAATCTCCAGTTGTGATTTTTCAGTTCTGTCACATGTATGGAACACCAACATCAAAGGATATTGCTCTGTTACTTTTGCCTCCTTACCCTCATTAGTGTTAATTTGTTCTTGTCGATCGTCTTCCATCCTCTGCACTATTCTGACATTATATTATGACAACAGAACAACCAAACCCATTCAACAGTGGATAATGCACCGTCTCTGCACTGAACTCAGATTTATTTGCTCAGCTTCCGGTGATTATTTCAAACAGGAATTTAATAAGTAGAACGTGAAAGTATTCGTGCAATGTTGAAGTCTGTCGCGAAAAATGACAACTGTCGGTGTTGATCCTGTCCATCAATGATACTTTGGAAGATATAACGTTAGTATTTAAAAAAAAAAATTTCTTCCATCAAACTTGTTACCATATTTCGATGTTGACAAAGAAAGTTTGATCTCACAGAAAACAGAAAATTATGAAAGAGGAGGGCAACATAGGGAAGGCGTGTCATGTTCTAGCAGTTTCGATGGCACATTTTAATACAGTTACATGCTAGAAAAATACTTATAAGAACAAAAAAAGAGAAATAATATTTAACAAATTCAAATTCATCAATAGATGAACTTGTTCCATATCACAATTCAATACCAAATCTTACACGTCTCTTCAACTTCAAGGAGCTTCTATTCACCATGGCTTTTTTTAATTATTTTTTTTTGCAAATGAATTAATTTTATTTTAAATTTTGTAACTTTTTAGGATTTAAAAAATGTTCACATAATGACAATTGGAAACAACAGTTTTATTAAAAGAGATTTTTTTTTTAATTAACTTAAAAAAAATAAATCTTGCTAAATACTACGCGCAAAGAAGCGGGTCCCGGCTTCTCCAGGGGAAATCTCACTATATAACCAGACTTCCCCCTTCATAGCGAGACTTCCTCCTTCAATTATTTAGTTTCCGAATAGTTCTATTCGGTATCTCACTATATATAGCCAGGCTTTCCCATTTCATGGTGAGGCTACCCCCCTTCAAGTTAGTTTCCAAATAGTTTTTTTTCAGTCTTTTGCTAACGAAAAATGTCTGAACCATTGGTTTATTTTTACGTCGGCAATGGCATCATTGTACATTGACTTGTCCATAAAGTTCGTGGGCAAACGATATATTTTGAATAATAATAAGTTGTTGCCACGAAATAAAATGCGTGACAACGAAGTAAAATCCGTGGCCACGAAATAAGAATTCATTGCTACGATTTTTTTTCCTGGTAAACATTGTGTGTAAAGTAAATATGAAACGGATTTAGCACTGTCTATATATTCGTAGTCTATCCAACTTTGTGCGTTTTACTGCAGTCAAAAAGTCGATCATAATCCGTTAAAACAAATTGCAATAACAAAGATGTTTTCCTTGATGCATTATACGTACAAAATGTACTTATAATGCATCAAGGAAAACATCTTTGTTGTTGCAAAGAATTTTATTTCGTGGCTACGAATTTTAAATTTAAAAAAAATCATACCATGTCCTTTATATGCCACCGTAGTCTTGGCATTGCCTTTTATTATACAGTTTAGATAAACTTATTTTTCTATTCTAGGAAATGGGTGAATTAAAAAAAAATGACCAAACACATATTTATCAACCCACACTAAAAATACAGGCAATGAAAATAGATTTCTATGTCTCAGCATATGTCTTTAGATAGTGTCTAACTACCTGCCAAATATCTCGTTGATATCTCAATTAACAAAAAAGTTATGCTCAAAAATGATGCTAAAATTGTCAGGAGTGCAACACCTTTTTGTGACATTTTGAAATTTCAACATTTTTTGGAGATCTGTGAAATAAAAAATAATGCTTCATGTTGAAAATAAAGACTTTCGTGATAATATTCGAAGTATTGAGCTTTAAATGTGGACTGTCATAACTTTTGTTTAATCAGGTTGTGGTCATGGCTGATGTTTAAAAAAATGTTATACCATGTCAGGAGTGCAACAGAAAAAATGTAGTGTTGCCAAAAAAACATCAATTGTAGAATTCTGATAGAAAATTAAGACAAAAAAGAATTTTGAAAGTGTAAAATAATAACTGATATACATTTTAAAACTTAAAAATGTTATACAAATCACAAGCAGCATTAATGAGAGTCAAGTATATGTGCATACCCAAAATTGTCAGAAGTGCAACATTTGATGTTTTGCTCCCAAGCATGAAAAAACTATTATCAAAATACGATTTTCTGATTTTTATTTTGGAAAATAAAGACACAAAGAACATTTTTACCAAATAGATTTATCAATTACAGGATCTGTCTGTGCTTCAGATCCATATTTCTATGGTCAGTATGGCATGTCAAACGTTGCAATATTCGATCTTTTCCATTTGTATTGTATAATTTTCCATTTGTATTGTATAATTTTTATTTGTATTCTATAATTTTCTATTTGTATTGTATAATTTTCATTTGTATTGTATAATTTTTATTTGTATTCTATAATTTTCTATTTGTATTGTATAATTTTCATTTGTATTGTATAATTTTTATTTGTATTCTATAATTTTCCATTTGCATACATGTAATTGCATTGTATAATTTCTTATTCGTATTGTAAAATTTCTTATTTGCATGCGATAATTTTTCATTTGTATTGTATCCGCGGATTGTTTATTTGTTTCGTTACGAAGGATTTCATTGGTCACGTTTCAGCCTGTATCGGGTTGAAGATGTTCCGGGTGCTCAAAGCAAACTGGGCTCATATGTATTTGCTTGCTTCCTTGCTTGATTGATTATCGTTTAACGCTGAGTCGGCAATATTTCAGCCATATTTCGGCGGCATATGTATGGTGGCAAATAAATAATCTGTCCTTAGAAATAATGACTGAGAAAATGAATGGATTGACCTTGAGTGGTGGAACCTACCCCCACCCCAAAGAAACTGAGTTTTCGGGTTTTGGCAGATTTTCTTCTTTTCGTTTTTCTCCTTGTCTCTGGTCATATTGGAAATAAATATTCTCTCCTGTGAGAGAATGAAAAAAAATATTCGGATTCGACCCCCCCCCCCCGAGATTCAAATGGTCGTCCCTTAGCATGCACGCAAATAAAGGAGCCGAGTTTGTGTTTGTAGTGAGTGTGCGGTCGGAGTTGTGGGAAGGGTACCAGACTAAGTTTGTGTTGGGCACCTGAAACCTTTATTCAGACTTATGACCAATGACATCCTTCGTAACGAAATAAATAAACAATCCTCGGATACAATACAAATGAAAAATTATCGCATACAAATAAGAAATTATACAATACAAATAAGAAATTATACAATGCAATTGGAAAATACAGAATACAAATGAAAAATTATACAATACAAATGATTTTTTTTACAATACAAATGGAAAATACACAATCCAAATGGAAAACTATAGAATCCAAATGGAAAATTACAGAATATAAATAAAAATTATACAATACAAATGGAAAGTTATACAATACAAATGGAAAGTTATACAATACAAATGGAAAAGTATAAAATACAAATGGAAAATTATACAATACAAATAAAAATTATACAATACAAATGGAAAGTTATACAATGCAAATGAAAAAGATCGAATATTGCAACGTTTGACATGCCATAGGTCAGGAGTGCAACACATTTTTTTAAAGATTCAAGTTGTGTGATGAAAAGACTTCTATTCATGCTTAGAAGTATTCATTAATTAATAATGATCTTTTTGTATAATTTAATGCTAAATTATTGACAGTTTTATTATTAAAATCCTTCCTTTTTCAATTTTATCAATTCAAATGTGTTTTTATCTTTTTTGTGATTTTTTTAATGAACGTTAACAATAAACACACTAAAACATTGTCATAAAATTCGAGTAATTCCTCCTCAACTTCACTGAAACAACAGAACAAGTTCTTATGTAATTTTCACTTCACAATTCTACTTTAAAGGTCCCAATGCTTTTGGTCAGGAGTGCAACAAATATGTTAGAATTATAAATCATCCAATAAGAATAAAAATAAAGAAAAAATGATGAGTGGAATTTTTCTGGTGAGTTACTGTGTTTGTCTTCTAAAGGAAAATATGCTTTAAAATATATTTTATCTTCTAAATATACATTTATGCTAATTTTTTGGCATAAGATAGGGTATAATTCCAGATAAAATGCAAATTTTAAATACTTTCATCTGTTTTAATTATGAAATATTGGACTATAAGTATTGCACAATTTCATTACCACTTGATGTTGCCAACACTTTATGAATTTTTGTGTTCTATGGTTTTAAATTTAAACTTTACTGCAGTCAGGAGTGCAACAAAACTGCTTCATAAATACCGATGCTTTTTAACTATCTTTACTAAAAAATAAGTTGAAAAAAAATGCTTGATACTATTTGATGTTCAAAACACCATGTCTATCAACAAATTACAGAAATTTTACAGTCAATTCAGGGAATAGTTTTCATCATTTCACATATATTTTAAATACAATTTATATATATTACACTTTGCAAATAATCATGTTTTAAGGTCTTCAAAATATGAAAAACCAGCTGTAAACGATGAAAAATATCAACACGACAAATTGATTTACAAAGTAAGAATGGGTTATTGTGTGTTATAATTTTTAAAACAATGTTAAATAAAATACATATCAGATGTCAGGAGTGCAACACAATAATGTAACATAGGGTCACTTCAAAATCTAGTATTTTTCATAAGAGAACTTGTATATAACAATTCTTTTTTGGCTTAGATTTAAAGAATTGACTTGAACGGACAAAAAAGTGAATTTGGGGAAATTTTATTGCTTCATATTTTTTTCATATTAAAACATTTCAAACCAGAATTGAAAAAATAATGTAAAATAACAATCAAAAAGCCAATTTTTTGTCACATGTACAAGAGAAGATACTCATTCAAGGTCTTGATTTAATCATTAATACCCCTTTTACCATTTTGAAGCATAAAAAACTATAATTTCTTGTGATTATGTATTTTAGAAAGTCTTTTAAGGTGTAATGATATTTTCTTTTTTCAAAAGAAATTTTACTAATAAAAATTCTGAAACTTTTTAATCCAATTGTTTATTCTATTGCCAGTTCAGGATTTTAAACTAGAATGCATTTGCAATATGATGATATAAGTGAAAAATATGTTATAAGTAGTTGAATTTTGCCAAAAAAATTCAGT